CCCAGAAGCTGCGGTCGCCATAAAAAGAAATCACTATATGGACGACTACTTGCAGAGCTTCCACTCTGTCACGGAAGCTCAGCAAACGGTAAAAGCAGTCGATCACGTCCACAAACAAGCGGGATTCGTACTCAGCGGGTGGACATCGAACGAAGCGAAAACAATAGAAGAAATAACGACAGAACATAAACAACACGACGCGACCGTGAACCTGGGCGGAAAAGAAACTGAGAAGACGCTCGGCCTGCTCTGGCATGTACAAAGCGATCATATTGGATTTAATACTCACAATATGAAGATGACTGCCGACGTAAAAGAAAAACAACGCTTGCCAACTAAACGTGAAGCGTTGAGCATCATAATGGCATTATTTGATCCGCTGGGATTAATATCACCAGTGACCACCCCAGCCAAGAGAATATTCCAAGACACATGGCGTTACAAGGCGGACTGGGACGACCCTCTGCCCACAGAATTAAAAGAAAAGTGGGAAGACTGGATTACTTCACTTAACGCCATAGAACAACTGAGAATACCGCGATGCTACGATTACAACCCGGTGTCGACGCGCCAACTACACACATTCGTCGACGCAAGCGAGGAGGCCTACGCAGCAGCCGTGTATTGGAGAACGGAGCGAGCAGACGGCAGCGTTAACGTATCATTGGCCGCCGCCAAGAGCCGCGTAACACCACTGAAACCAGTCTCCATACCACGGCTCGAATTACAAGCGGCACTGCTGGGAGGCTCGTCTCGCGCAGACCGTGGTCGATGAGCACGATGGTGATATAGCAGGCAAGACATACTGGTGCGACTCTCGTACTGCACTGGTGTGGATAAGGTCGGAGCCTCGCGCGTACAAAGCTTTCGTCGCTCATTGCCTGGCGGAGATAGAAGATACGACCAAGAAGAACGAATGGCGTTGGTTACCGTCTAAAGAAAACGTGGCAGACGACGCGACCCGATCCACGCCAGAAAGATTCGACGAGTCGCACCGGTGGTTCCGAGGGCCCCCGTTTCTGCAACGTCCACCAGCAGAATGGCCGCAGGAAGAGAAAACGACACAATACGACACCGGGGAAGAACGAGAAGTGTGTAACATCGCAATTAAAAGGGTAGACTCGCCAACAACACATCTGCTACAAATAGAAAGATTTTCAAAATGGATTCGCCTCATAAGGGCGACAGCGAGAGTCCTCCTATTCATCGACATGTGCAGACCAAACAAGCACGTGGTGAAGGCTGGGCGTAAACGCAACAGAGCAAGACAAGATAGCGACCCTGGCTGGCAAAGAACAAACAAACGCAACATCCCCGCCAAGGAGTAAAAGGCAACTCCTACTGTCTCATCACTTGTAGGAATACCGGCCGCTTATCACGTAAGAGCCGAACAACTGTGGGTGCAAGCCAGTCAGCGGGAAAGCTTCACGAAGGAGCTCAAGAGGATCGCCAACGGAAGTGTTCCGGGAGGTGACGACAAATTAGGCCACCTGAGCACATACATCGATGAAGAGGGGACCCTACGCCTCAGAGGTCGAATAAAAGCAGCATCAGAAGTAGAAGAGGACACGTACGACCCTCCCATACCAGACGGGAAGCACGCATACACTCGTCTGTACATAACCCACGTACACGAGAGGTTGCATCACGGAGGCGTGGAAACAGTCGTGAACGAATTAAGACAGAGACTGTACATAAGAAAAATACGTCCAGTGGTGAAAACTGTCGTCAAAAGCTGCCTACCGTGCCGTCTAAGAAAAGCCAAGCCTGCATCACCATCTACAGGGAACCTGCCGTCCGCACGTCTCGCTCATCACGTACGTCCGTTCACATACACCGGACTGGACTACTTCGGGCCAATAGAGGTCACAGTGGGACGACATCGTGAAAAGCGCTATGGCGCGTTATTCACCTGCATGACATCACGAGCAATATATATAGAAGTAGCCCACTCTTTAAGCGCCGACTCAGCCGTGTCGGCGCTCAGGCGTTTTATGAGCAGAAGAGGATGCCCAAAGGAAATATGGAGTGACAACGCTACGTGCTTCAAGGCAGCAGACAAGGAGCTGGCCGAAGCAGCACTCGCAGCCCTCGAGCACGAAACCACATGTCGACAAATTGTGTGGAAGTACATACCACCATCAGCACCATTCATGGGCGGCGCGTGGGAGCGAATGGTTCGCTCCGTGAAAGAAGCTCTACGCGTCACCCTCAACGAGCGCTATCCCAGTGACGAGACATTGGTGACCCTGCTCGCCGAGGTCGAAAACACGGTCAACTCAAGACCTCTCACACACGTCTCAGTCGACCCAGGAGACCCAGAAGCCATCACGCCGAATCACATCTTCATCGGTCCCAACTCGCACGTACCTGCGCCGGGACACTTCAGCGAGAGTGACGTGACGGCCCGCCAGCAGTGGAAACGAGCTCAAGCCCTGGCCGACGTGTTTTGGAGAAGGTGGTTAAAGGAATACCTGCCCCTACTCCAACACCGGCGGGAGCCCAGCAGCATAGGCGTATCACCGAAGATTGGAGACCTAGTCATCATTTGTGACTCCAATCTACCACGCAACATCTGGCCCAGGGGGAAAATCAGCAACGTATATCCTGGCGTCGACGGAGAGGTACGAGTAGTGGACGTAACCACAAGCACGGGGCATGTACTACGAAGACCGACAAAGAAGATCGTCGTGCTACCAGAGGGATCGCAGCGTGGCGACGGCGGGAGAATGTGCACGACGCAAACATAGCAATACCTCGAAAGATATGACTTACGGATTGCTTGTGGTAACCATCGCTAGTTGAACAACCTAGGGGCGGTGGGCGGAGCCATGAGAATGTTATGATCGTCGGGGCGCGCTCACGGTTCCACAACTAGCGGTGGTTGCCCACAGCAACGCGGGAAAAGCCGTAGCAATAATATTAAGAAATATAGCTTTATTGTTAAATAAATAATATTGTAACTATGTAATAACTCTCGCAATAAAGGCACCGAAAAACTGGCGAGAGTTAACATAGATTTAGGATATAGAAATTAATGCCAAATTGTAGAATAAGTCTTATATGTAAAATGTATTCTTTTGTATAGTGCAATTTAATTCCTTATGTATTAAGCCTTTAGGCACGATAAATAATAAAACAGGGCATGTTACCGTGACGCGGCCGCGGAGCGAATGAGGCTACGCGCGCCGCGCCACGACGTTTTATATTTATAGTACTGAGGCGGGGGGCAGGGTCCTCAGATCAAAATTGCTGGAATAATAACGTTTTAGCCTTTACTATGTAGAACAATTGTTATATAAGTATTAGTTTAATAAGTAATTGTAAGAATGTAATATATTTAAGTCTGTACATTACTTTTTAAGAGATTTACCTAATAAAGAAAGGCGCGGGGGTGAGGCAAGGGTCCGCTGGCCAGCAACGGCCAAATAGTATATAAGACGGGCCGGCCGGAACGGTCGGCAGTCGCTCTCCAGCTACAGAAAAGAAAACAACAGCAAGAAAAGAAAAAGTTCCTCCTCACCGCCGCTTGCCTCCAGTAGTAAGCAAGACCAACGTGTTTCACTCATTTTTCGAACGGCGTTACGGCGATCCGTAACAATTAATTTCCTTAAATTTTTGTCACAGTGACTCTTTAGGCTTTAAATCATAAATTGCTCTTATGGCCCTCTTCTGTAAAACAAATATAATTTCATTGTCAATAATTTTATTAATATTGAAACAATTTATTAATTTAGATATAGCATTATTTACTTCCTCAATATTTAGTAACTGTCAACTTAATTTGAAAATTAAAGAAGTGTCACCTGCAAATAATACTATATCATGGTTATCCCCTACTATGTAAGGTAAGTCATTAATGTACACAAGAAACAAAAAGGGGCCGAGAATTGAGCCTTGAGGCATGCCCATTTGTACCATCGACCCGGAAGAGTCGATGGTACAAATGGGCGTCATACTGTTAATGACAACTTTTTGTGTTCCCTTACTTAAATGTGAAATAATTAATTTAAGAGCATCACTTCTTACACTGGTAACGATAACGGTCAATAAACCCCGGAAATAGCACTACCTATGCCGATCACTAGTTATAACCTTTGAGTAGTGTATTTCTTGTATAAATAACTAAATTCAATTTTAAAAATGTTAAGATGGAAATTATTTTTGATGTACTAATCAACTACCACCTTGTGCTGTTATTGCTATTCGCAACAGGTTTTGCATAAACATATAGCATTTTCCTGATAACAATGCACATTCCCCCCACCCCCCAACTTTGATGCATTTTATGGTGGATGCCTACGTTTTGTTTAACTTTTCAGGAATGTAATTTATAATGTAAGTATTTTGTTGACTTTCTAGTTGTTACCTTGAGATTGTGATATGCCCACTCAAGGGGAAAAAATCTTTTAATAAAAAGTAAAAGCCAACTTAAAAAAAAAAAAAATAATTTAACATTCTTCAGTTTTTCATTTAATTCTTCTGTACATTATATTGTGGAAATTAACTTCAGAAAAAATTTGTCACTCAACTCCAGTAAAGTTGCATCAGAACATTGACCTATCACAGTGCCTCATTTAATACTATACACACTCACAACAAAGAGTTCTTTGAGTATTGTTTGTGAAATAATTTGCTTGCCATACCAAAAACCCTGACAAACATGTTACATGTTATGTTGCTCTTATATTTAAGTAAATTATGTTTGTGAATATGAAGCATTATGATTCTGCTAATTTTATAAATTTGATATTATAGTACTACCTAGAACAAGTTATAACTAAAATACTAATAATGAAGTTGATATTTAAAAGAAAAGGGGTCTTTAGATGTTTTCAGTTCATTTTATTACAAAAGCAATTCCTTTTTATTAATTATATATTGTTAAAATTATGGTGTTATTAACCTTTTTTATAATTGTAAAAGAAAATTTAAATAGATATCTGTACAGATATTTTAATATGTATATTTTTTTAAATAACCCAATCTTTCAAATACAGGTAATTACTTTGGAAGTCATTTTATCATGGGTGGAGAAAGATTTGACACACCTCAACCGGAGGCCTATTTATTTGGAGAAAATGCAGATCTGAATTTCCTTGGAAGCAGGCCCACTCCTGTAAGTAGGTTTTTATACTAGTAAAAATGATAAACAAGCACCCATACCGCCTGATAGTAAGTGATACAGTGTTCTATATATCCCTACATAAATTCTTAGTTAAAAATGAAAATACTTATTAAGATGGAATGCCGCATTACTAGAAAAAGGTTCTCTGTATCATGCCCCACACTACTAAACACAGTAGTATAATGTTTTTATTTTATGCAATGTATTCTGTGAGAGTAAAGTCCTTTCGCAGTCAAGCTGACTATAACCATTATACAGCTACTGTGTATCTCTGCCATTAATCTTAAAGAATGCTGAGTAGATTTTAATATTATTCCGTCTTAAGAATGAGTCCACATAATATTATTATTAGATATGAAAAGAATTATCTTTCCAGAACAATAACATTATAAGGTGCTTTATTTATTTTAATAATTGTATAATGAGGATATAATTGTCAACACTATGCTTACTGTTAGTAAAAGAAATAAATTTTAAGACAGTATTGTATCAATATTAATGACTTAGCTTGAAAATTAATAATTTACTATCATTTTTAGTTTAATTATTAGTATAGATAATTAATTTCTCATTATTTTAGCAAATACTGTTTGCTATATCTGCAATTCAAATCTAGAACAAACTATAAAACAAACACGGTCTACATTGACCCAGATAATTCTAATCATAATACAAAGAGAGAACTGAGAATATCCAATAGGATGGTTTTTATAATTGCCAATTGTTATGTGGATGTTTAAAATAATATATATGTACTTCATTCATATTTAATTTATATTGCTTTTCTAATTATTACAATTTTCATCAGTTTCCATATCCCCCACCACAATCAAATGAGCCAACAAAAACCTTGAAAAGTTTAGTCAACATAAGAAAAGAGTCCTTGCGGTTTGTTAGATGTCCAGAGCCTGTGGGAAAACTGGTGGATAATAACAAAATTGGAGATGGAATGATAAAATCTGTTGACTGTAATGGCAAGGGAACATATTACAACATAGAATTTACATTTGACTGTGATGCAAGATGTGCCATTACAATATTCTATTTCTGTACGGAGGAAGTGACTCCTGGGGGTGTAGTGTAAGTTGTATATGTTTTGCTACTTAAACATATTTATATAATATAATATCCACTACCCCATGTCGTCCCATGAGTGTTGTAAGAGGCAATAGAGTGAAACAAATCAAGAAATGGTCAACAGCACATTCTTAATAAGAATTAAAAAAAATTACCAAATGTGGCAATTATGCTAAATATCCCCCTATGTAGCAATCTAAGTGTGAGGTCTATGATCAGCAATGGATTTATGAAAGGCTATAATGGTAACAGTAACATATATATCTACATGAAAATAAAAATATATTGCATGTGTCACAAGTCACCACAAGGTAGCATTTTAGAGCCTTCGCTGTCTATGCTATTTCGCTAGTCAATATTAACAAGAAACTATATGTTCACTCTTTCTCTCACTACTTTTTCATTTTAATAGCAATCTAAGTCCAATATTCAAAGAAACTCGAGTTTAAACTCAAACTACACAACTCACACTGTCAACATTTGTGGAGTATAGTCGCTAATCTCTAGCATACTAGTACTTGGAGAGGAGTATAATATAGAACTGAGTCGAATTTTTGTCATTGTGGAGGAGTTCAAACTTGAGATTGTTTGTTAATTCTGGACTTAGTTTGAAGAAAAGACTCCATAATTATTTTTTGCTTTTTTTATTACAGCTATTATCCCAGAGATCCCACAATAAATTCACAGACATATCATTATAAAAAAGGTGCCAATCAGCAATTCTGTCAGATCTCGCATGTTTTTGACCCTTCAAAATACCCCGAGGAGGATTTGGTGTATAATGCTGACCGTGAAATAATCCCTATTGCCATTTATTGTGTTGTAGATGAAGGACAGGAAGGTTAGAATATGTCAAGAGCTTTTATTTATATAAATTACCATATATCAATTACATCCTGAGTTAATTAAATATTTTTTATCGTTTTTTATTATAGAAATAAGACAATCGCATACAACTATAGCTGTGATAGAGAAACACTCAGACGGGACTTACGTTCTCAAGGCTCTCAAACAAAAATTGTTTGTTGATGGTTTATGTTACTTACTGCAGGAAATATATGGCATAGAAAACAAGAATTTGGACACAAAGGTATGCTGTGATTATGCTGTAAATACAGTTTTTCAATTAGCATGAGTGATCAAAAATTTGTTTTTAATTACAGCCAAGTTCTGATGAAGAGACTGAAGATGGTGGTTCAGAATGCGTGATCTGCATGTGCGATGTCCGTGACACACTCATATTGCCTTGCAGGCATCTGTGTTTGTGTAATTCCTGTGCTGACTCACTGCGGTACCAGGCTAATAATTGTCCCATCTGCCGTGCACCCTTCCGGGCCTTGCTGCAAATTAGAGCCTTGCAGCGTTTGACTACACCAGCCTTAATGCCCCCTGCCGCTAATCCACCAGATGTGAGAAGAATTTTTTCTTATTTTTTATTTGTTACTTTTTAAGGTTCCGTAGTTACACAACAAAGAACCCTTATAGTTTTCGCCATGTCCGTCCGTCCGTCCGTGGTTTTGCTCAGAGCTAGCTAGGTGCTACAAATCTGTAATTTGGCATAGTTATAGATATTAATCACGCCTAGAAAACTGTGAAATAAAATCTTAAAAAACATTTTTATTTTTGGCAATTCCCATACAAGTAAATAGAGGATGATTTTTTTTTACCCGTCTATTCCATCATGTGAGGTATCGTTGGATAGGTCTTTCAAAAACTTTGGGGGTGTGGAAAACATGTTTTCGATTCAAGGATCCGTTTGCGACATATTTAGCTTTAAAGTGGTATTTTTCATTAGAGTCATGCCAACCCCCTCTCCCTCTACCATCTAAACACATGCACTTGGCCAGTTTTTTATTTTAAATATTCGAGTTATGATTCTGTTGTTGTGGTTTTTGTTATAATTTTTTCATTAGTATTTTGTTGCATCTTATTCTAAGTGATATTAATTTCTTCTCTGTAATAAACTGTTTAGCTCAAATTGTCACACATTATTTTTTACTGTAATTTCCACAGGGAAGCATGGAAAACATTCCCGCGGGGTATGAGCCGGTGTCGCTACTGGAGGCGCTCAATGGCCCCACGGTCCGCGCGCGACCTCCGCCCGCTCCCGCGCCCACTATCGCCAGCCCAGACACAGACACCGCCTCGCAGGTGTGTAGTACTTATACATGTGTACATTGCCTTTAATGAAGGTATTCACAACTTTTTCTGCCTCTAGGGCGACGCCATTTAGGAATAAGGTGAAATATTAGACAGACGTCATGCCGCGGGAAGTTACTTTGTAAGAAAAGTGTAGAGGATAACGCTTTTGTCTGAAATATTACTTATATTTGATATTAATTTACGTTTACGAGGTAGAGCCATGCTGCAGCTATATTAGTAGTATAGCTGTAGCACGAATGGGTCGACTCGATCGGGGAAGGACCACGCTCTCACAGTATACCAGCGCAAAATAGCAGTTTAACACTGTTGTGTTGTGAATGGTGAGTGTAGAGCACCGGAGACCCTTTTTACTGGAAAAGAGGCATTCCATCTTAGTCCTCACACGGTGACAACGCATCTGCATTTTGAGTCTTTATTGAGGATAGATGTAGATGTATATGGGTCACAGCAACCATTTACCATCAGGTGGACTGTGTGCTCGTTTGTCCCCATCCTATAAAAAAGAAAAAATAATTACATTAGAAATGGATAAACTAAACTGCGGATATTCCAAAAAGGAAAATTATTAAAAAAAAATGAAAAATGTTTAAAAAGCAAAAATACTGCGCTGAGGCATTGTTTTGTGTATATACATACAATAGAAACCAAAAAAATTTTTTATATAAAACGCAACTTTTGAATGATCATGCCACTGTAATCATTTGCGAAACAAATAGTTCACCTTGGTCCCCGCTAGCGACATCTGGTGAGCGTCAGATTATTAGCTTTCATTAGATACTTTGTTTTTAACATGACCAATGTAAAAAAATATAATTTACTTGTTGCGCAAATGTGAAATGGTGAGGTTTTGTTACAGGCGGCAGAGATCTTGAACCGGTGCAACGTGGAGCGCAGCTCGTCGACGAGCCTGGGCAGCGGCGGCAGCCGCAAGGCGCGGCGCGGCTCCAAGGACGCGCGCGCGCCGCACCAGCCGCATCCACCGCTCACGCCTGAGGTACCCAGCTACAATACAATACAATCATTTTATCAATCAATGAATTTTTTATTTACGAATACAGGTATTAATAAAGGTGTTTTATAATATTACATACCAGCTGGTACCCGGCGCGTTGCTACCACAGATAAAATAGTTGTCGAATAATCGTTTTAAATTTGGAAGAGTTATTTTATTTAGTTAGGAATGATAATACATTCATTTGAGTAGAATGATGTTCTCCAACTTAACTTTAAACGTAACTTTCAAATAAATTTGATGGTACGATATGCGCTCCACCTATTGTAAGTTAATTGTACTATGCCTAAAACCTTCGTATAAGTGGAAGCAATAAATTGATCAACAGTATGACACTGCATAAAATACGAACAAACAAATTTTTTTTTATATATACAACATTAAGTTCTTCCGTATTTTATAGGGCTTGCAAAAAAATACACTAAATAAAAAAGAGCAATGGCAGAAAAATAGTTGACAAAAATTATAGCGTCTAGAAATAAGTTATATATAAAATGAGTTTTATTATTTTTCTATAATTTTTCAAATAAAAATGTATTTTAATCAAAGCCACAGATAAAAACCTTTGGGATTCTGTGTGGGATAAAAAATTTTTGGGAATATCAAATGACTTCAATCATTTTACTCTATTCAAATGTTGCCATTTAGTATATTCATACTATTTTCGTATACACTTTGTAAGACTACCAACATAACACACAAAATATTTTTATATTAAATTTTTATTAGTAATAACTGTACTATCAGTAATAATAAAAGTAAAAGTAACATGGCTGAGAATAAGTTTCTTACAAAGAATTTCTTACAAGAATACATTATCTCAATCATAGTACTATGTAACAATTCCATTTAATGTTATGCCAAGACTAGCTAAAATAAAATGTCACTGTTTTTTTTACTGGCTTTACGGCTCTGGGTTTTAGCCCTTCTGAGAATGTCACTATGATATGATACATTTATAGTATGCAAATATATAATAGAGATACAATAATCTAAAAACTCTCAAATATGTATTATGTATTAAGCTAACATCAAACAACCACAGGAAGCATGACTTTTTCCAAGTGACATAGGACATAACCTAAAAAGGTTCAAATGTAAATATCTTTTTTTTTTGACGCCTTCTCAGGACAAAATCCTTTGACAGAGTTATTAAGGGACTGACGCTTAACATTTTAAGATATTTTTGGTATATAGACGCTACCATTTCTTCTCAACTAATTTTATGTAAGTAACTTTGTCAAAGAATTTTGTCCTGAGAAGGCGTCAAAAAAAGATATTTAGATTTCAACCCTTTTAGGTCATGTCCTTATGTCACTTGGAAAAAGTCATGGTATAGTATAGTTGTAGCACGAATAGGTTGGCTCGACCGGGGCAGGACCACGCTCTCACAGAATACCAGCATGAAATAGCAGCTTAATGCTGCTGTGTTTCGTATGGTGAGTGTAGAGAACCGGAGACCCTTTTTACGGGAAAAGAGGCAATCCATCTTAGTCCTCACGGCTGGCAACGCATCTGCATTTTGATTTGCAAACGAAGACAGATGTAGATGTCTATGGGCCACAGCAACCACTTACCATCAGGTGGACTGTGTGCTCGTTTGTCACCCTTATTCTATATAAAAAAAAACAGGCCAAGTGCGAGTCGAACTCGCGCACCGAGAGTTCCGTACAAAATCCGTAGGTATATAAATTTAAAATTATTAAAAATATATGATGTAACTAAAAATTTATGCTTTTCGCAATTTTTCCTTTGTCTGTGCTATAATAGGTTGCTTCGTACCAAATTTTAAGATTCTGAGTTCACGGGAAGTAGCTTGTAGCTTTTGATTCCCTTGCGAATGTCGAAAATTTGCGACATAAACAGCTGTCAGCATCTTTTGATTGCATTGGCTTAGAAGTTTGATTTTTTCACAGCTTCAACAAGAGACAGTAGACTTGAGTATTTGGTATGAATTTCAGCTTGATACCTCCACGCGTTCCTGAGAAAAAGGGTCTTGACAGACAGACAGACGGACGACAAAGTGATCCTATAAGGGTTCCGTTTTTTCCTTTTGAGGTACGGGACCCTAAAAAAGTTTATATGAATATAGTAAATAGCAACACTTGAATAGTTTAAAATGATTAATGTCATTTGATATTCCCAAAAATGTATGTTTTTTTTCTGTGGCTTTAATTAAAATACATTTTTATTTGAAAAATAATTAAACTCATTTTATATATAGTCATTTCTAGACTATTTTTCTGCCATTGTTATTGGGTAAACAAAATGGATAGGACAAAATTACTTTTTTTTTTTCATCTTCTATTTTATCGGCCCGCAAAAGTTCACTGTTGGACACGGGTCTTGCTGTAATTGTTGACATTGTTACAGTTCCGTATGTCCGTGTTACTGGCACGAGAAGAGGAAGCAAAGCGCGTGGAAGAAAAGGCAGCTGCGAGCAGTCCCCTGCTTTACAAACACAATGGAATTAGTTCCTCCGAAAAACTTTCTAAGGTAAGTCTATAAAATAAATATAATGACATTTCTTATACACAGTAAACTCTCGTAAACCTCGTTGCTTTCTTTATTTATTGTACTCAATAAATCTACTTATCTTTTCAGCGAAATTCAATGATTTAATAAACTAATTTAATTATGTTTTGAAATACAAAAATGTTGTTACAACCAGCCCTGGATCTAAGGGGAGTGGGGGAGGGGGTGCACCCGGCGGCAGTGTTAGGGGCGCCAAAATTATAATATAATATGGTTTAAAAAAACTCGCATCACAAAGTGCCTAGCCAGCGCACGTTCTATCCATTAATCACTTGATTTTGAATAATTAATAACTATAAATAATTAACGTTAAAAAATTACAAATTTTTTTTTATAAATAATTTGTTATCCTTAGCGTTTCATCATAAAATTAATGAATTACTTAAGAATATACTGCATATTACGTACGACATTCTGCAAGATATGAGCGAAGCTTCAGCAATATGAAAACGTTTAACAATGAGTCAGGAACGTCTATCTGGCCTGTGATTCTAGCCATTGAAAATAAAACTGCCTTTGAGACAGACTTCGATGAGCAAATAGATTCTTTATATTTTCTATACATATATAATTTTACGTCACACAAATGAAAAAGTTATTAGCTAATAGGTAATAAAGAGTGCAAGTTTTTTTAACAAGTTATCTCAAACGCTGGAGAGAGGAGGCGCCACTATCAAGTTTTTGCCACGGTTCAAAAAATCTTAGATCCTGGGCTGGTTACAACATACAAGTCGACACAATCTAATTAAAACTAAATTTTTATATATAAAAATCAATTGCTATCTGTTAGTCTCTCTCATAGACAGACACTTATTTTATTTATATGTATATAGAGCTGCAGGCTAAGTCGGCCTAGATTCTTTAGGCGGTTGTAGTTTCTATCATTATCGAGTGATTTGATGACGAAACATCATACCCCAAACATAACCACTATCAAGATATTGGATATTTAAGTTTTTTTTATAAAAATGCAAATTTTCTTATCTACTGTACTACTTTTTTTGTAATTATTTGTGCATCTAGTTTTTTTTACAATTTTTGTGTAGTAGATAAGTTGCTTTATTATTTTTAACACCTGGATTTCAGGTAAATAAACGATCTGGGTTGTAGTAGACGATTGTTATTTGAAAAAAGAAATAAATTTGTATAAACTACTCTTTCTTAGAGGAATGTTTAAAGAAATCTATGGCAGTTATGTTTTAGATGTACTTAAAAATATCTACGTTTCTTCAGCTATCTAACAAGGTATAACGGTCTGGGGTATTATCAGAATTACTAGAAAAAATTAAATGATGGGCTCACATGTGGTACTTGTGTGGTTAATTTATATAAGAAAATTAAAATTCCAATATCTTAGAAAGGTTCAGTGGGGTATGGTGTTTCTATGAAAGACCACACCCCACTATGAAATACTACACTCCAAATCAGTCAGGGAAACTGCAACCTCCTAAAGGATTTAGGTCGATTTAACATGTAACTCTGTATAGTTAACAAAGAGATCGTTTACGCCTCTAAAGCTCTTCTTGCAAGTTTCTACTACCTTCTCTTTGAAAATTTGGTTTAAATGATGGGATTGTTTTGCGGGCAGAGCTCGCTGAACTCGCGGCCGACATCGGAGGCGGGGTCTTGTGCGGGTTCACGCGCGGGATCGCGTGCGGGGTCGCGTGCGGGGTCCCGCGCGGGGTCGCGGGCGGGCAGCGCGGCGTCGTGCTGCGCGTCGGACGAGGAGGCGGAGGAGGCGGCGGCGGGCGCCGCGCCCGACAGCGACGCCGAGCGCCGCTCGCCGCTGCTGGCGCCGCAGCACGCGCAGCACCCGCAGCACCCGCCCGCTGCACACGCGCCCGCGCCCAACGGAGTACGTATGCGTGAGCTGCACTTTTTAACCCCCGACGCAAAAAGAGAGGTGTTATAAATTTGACCGCTATGTGTGTGTCTGTCGTGTCTATGTGTCTGTCTGTGGCACCGTAGCTCTTAAACGGGTGAACCGATTAGAGTACGGTTTTTTTTCCATTCAAAAGCAGGTTTTCTAGTAGTGGTTCTTAGACATGTTTTATCAAAATCGGGTCAGCTGTTTCAACTTCATTTTGACTTTTCTGCCACCAAGGCGATGCCACTGGATGAAGTAAAATATTTGACAGATTTCATAGCGGGGGATGCTAATTTGTTAGGAAAGTGTAAAAAAAAATTTACTATTAAATAAATTTAATATTAGTTAAATTAGAAATGTAAAAACTATAAAGAAATATACAGACATTCCTAAAAGTAAAAGAATATTAAAAAAAGTTAAAAAAGGAAAAGAATACAAAACTAAAACATTGTTTTGTGTATATATACTAGAAGACGAAAAACTTTTATTTAAAATGCAACTTTTTAATAATAATGGCACTGTGTGACCATCTGAGTGACAAATAAGTTCACCTCAGTGACATCTAGCGACATTTGGTAACAAAGAATATTAGCCCTCATTCGGAAAACAGATGAATAACAAAATCGGTCCGACTATGAAAACAAAGATAATAAAATCAATACATAATGTCCTCCAGACCGAATTTCGGTCACGGCGGCCAGTCTCAACGGAGACTAGCCATCGGCGCAGGACAGGATTATAGTGCCCAAGTGTATGTGCAAGCACATGTGCACTCTCAATGTCCGATGGGACGGTAAACGGTAAACCGACACGACCGGAGAGAGATCAGGCACAGGACCAACGGCTTTACGTGCTTTTCGAGGCACGAGGGTGAAACACCGCCAACTTCCTGACTTCAGGCAGCTACTGAGAATTTCTTGATAGAAAAACTCAATAACTGATTTTTTTGGCCCGACCCGGGATTCGAACCCGGGACTTCATGATCAGCAGTCGCACTACTACAACCACTAGACCAACGAGGCAGTCAAATACATAATCAACACTTATCCTACACTTATTCAATATATGCTTCAGCGCTTCTATGCTGCTCTTATAAGCAGATTCCTCCAACTCGTCAAAAACCCAGTCCGCTTCAGCTATCACTCAAAACTTTTTTCCAGTCTGACGTCTTTTCAATTTAGGGAACACGAAATAGTCCGATGGTGCTGAATAAGGCGAATATAGGGGATAGTTTAATACTTCGAAACGGAGTCCATGGAATATAGCCATTGCAATAACTGACTTATCCGTTGGTGCATTCCTGTCTTTTTTTATAGGATAGGTTGACAAACGAGCACACAGTCCACCTGATGGTAAGTGGTTGCTCTGGCCCATAGACATCTACATTTATCGTCAATAAAAGAATCAAAATGCAGATGCGTTGTCAGTTGTCACCCGAGAAGACTAAGATGGAATGCCTCTTTTCCAGTAAAAAGGGTCTCCGGTTCTCTACACTCACCAAACGAAACACAGCAGTGTTAAGCTGCTATTTTACGCTGGTATTCTGCGAGAGCGTGGTCCTGCCCCGGTCGAGCCGACCCATTCGTGCCACAACTATACTACTGATATAGCTGCAGCATGGCTAAAAAAAGGATTCCTGATGAAAAAGGATTTTCTTTTTGGCCAATCTCGACTTATTTTCTTGAATTTTGTCGGCTAATGTGAGTAGTTAGCATAGTATGGGTCTGTCCTTTGGGAAGTTAGCCAATAAAAATAATTCCCTTGTAATCCCAAAACATTGATGCCATCACTTTTCTCTCCGACTTTAGCGACTTGGCTTTCTTTGGTGGTGGAGAATCGCTCGAATTCTCCGTTGAGATTTCAACCCGGTTAAGTTTTTGTTTGGCGGTCAACGAACTCGGCACCCGTCTCCAAAATGAAACAAGAGATATGCCGCAGCATCATCCTGATTACAACTCAAAATAATAAAAAGACTGCGTTTGTCAACACGCCTGCTAAGTGTGGTTTTATGACAAATATAAATTAATAATTATATAACTGCCCAAAACAGTCCTTAATGTAACATTTATATGATATGTTCTCAATACTCAATGTAATATTATTTAAATTATAAGATTGGAAGTGACTATGGTCTTGGCTGGTGTCACCCACCGCCTTGCCTTTTTCAATGCATGCTAATTATACAAATAAATAAAATTGAAGTGTCTGTATAAAAAGTATATACGGAACTTATAACAAAAACACAATTTTTAAAATTTTTACTGTCTGTCCGTCCGTCTGTCTGTCTGTTTGTTCCGGCTAATCTCCGAAACGGCTGGACCGATTTCGATGAGACTTTCACTGGCAGATAGCTGATGTTATAAAGAGTAACTTAGGTTACTTATATTTTAGAAAAAGAATTAGGGTTCCGCGTAACATATTTAAAACCCTAAACAACACGTGGGCCAAGTCGCGGGGAACAGCTAGTCTCTATATAAAAATCTTTACGTGGTAGAGATAGACTAGTTGGACGTAGTTTTTTGCAATACGAATGTAGACCTTAATGCTTTATACACACATTACATAAACATACATTGATTTTAATGTATGTTTATGTAATTATATGAATTGTATATTAACAGGTGCTGAAGAACAGTGGAGCTGCGTTACGGCTGGCGGCGCCCGCGTTGGCGCACATCGACGACACGGACACCGACGAGCCCGACGCCGCGCACAACTGTCAGTAGCCCGACTGTACCGGCCGTGTCTCTCGGCACTCGGCCGCAGCTGTCCCGTCGCATGTTCTGTACGATATGCGTTGGCGGCGGAAAAGTTAGGCCCTTATGCTCATAATGACCAAATAATCAGCTGAGGATCGATGCGTGTTGTTTAGGTTTTTCTAAAGTCTAATATTATAATGATTATGTAATGTTATACGCTATTATAGTTCAATATAAAAGAGAAAAAGGCCAAAAGCTGAAACAAATAAAAGGAGATATATTAATTTATTCTTAGAAACGCGGATTAAATACCAAACAATTTCATATATCCACAGAGAGTTAGATACCGGGATTTTTTAATCATAAAACTAGCTGGTACCCACATTACTAACGCTAAAGAAACAATTAGTGTGGAAATATCGTATTAAATTTGGAAAAGTTATATCGTTTAATTAAGAATGATAATACAATAATTGAAGTTGAATGAAAAATTACTTTCAAATAAATTTAACGGTACGATACGCGCGCCACCTACTATAGGTTATTTGTACTATACCTATAACCTTATAATATCAGATAAATGATTACTACTGTTTTACTAGATTTAATTTTAGGGACATACAATTTAGTGTCAGTAAATAATTAAAAAAAAAGAAATCTCCAAAATGGGAGAAGCCCTTGTCCAATTGTGTATGGACTGACGGATGGCTAGGAAGAGATGAACTGAGTTTATTCCTTTGCAATATTGTAGACGCATTCTATGTGACTTTTTTTAACAGTTTAGACTCGGGCCTAATGTGTTTTCCGCCGTCAAAGCTGTTTCGTGGCATGTCGCATAAATTCATTCTCGAGATCGGCTTTTCTGACAGATTACAATCAGAGCGACTTCATTTCTGCTCGCGTTTGGCTACTTATTTCTGGTTTTTTGTTACACAAAATGTAATAAATGCCACCGCTGCATTTATTAATCAAATTCGCTTCTAACTTTATTGCCATATTTAATTTAATTATTTTAAGTAATTTTGAATAATAAAGTAATGAAAAGATTTTACAGCAACAATGATTTATAAAATATAAAAAGTATTTGAACTATCACATAAAATTAAAACTTAAGGCTGTTATTGCTACTGACTTTAAGGTGAGGATTTTTCTTTTAGTTATGGGGATTGGAATAGGGTTCTTCAAAAGGCTGATTTTTCATAAGAACTCTATATCCAAATTAAAACTAAGGCTGTTATTGCACAAGATATTGCTACTGACTTTAAAGTGAGGATTTTTCTTTTAGTTATGGGGATTGGAATAGGGTTCTTCAAAAGGCTGATTTTTCATAAGAACTCTATATCCAAATTAAAACTAAGGCTGTTATTGCACAAGATATTGCTACTGACTTTAAAGTGAGGATTTTTCTTTTAGTTATGGGGATTGGAATAGGCTTCTTCAAAAGGCTGATTTTTCATAAGAACTCTATATCCAAATTAAAACTAAGGCTGTTATTGCACAAGATATTGCTACTGACTTTAAAGTGAGGATTTTTCTTTTAGTTATGGGGATTGGAATAGGCTTCTTCAAAAGGCTGACTTTTACATAAGAACTCTATATCTAAATATTAAACTAAGACTGTTATTGCACAAGATATTGCTATTGACTTTATAAATAAAGTGAGGATTTTTCGTTTAGTTATGGGCATTGGAATAGGGTTATTCAAAAGGCTGTTTTTTTACATAAGAACTCTATATCCAAATTAAAACTAGGTCTCGAATGTAATACTGTTACGAGCTTGGGGTTCGAAACAATTAAAACTGCCGCTTGAATTACCGAAATTGACACTTTATTTACACAACACTAATTACAATCTAAAACCACACTAATAATAAAACACAATCACTTTAGTTCGCACTTCGAAGTATTCTCTTGTATCGCCAATTCAATACTGACTTGGTCGTGGTCTATACCGGCCTTATATAGGGCCTCAGATAGTTTCCTGAACCTTCTACTGTAGCGACATCTAGAATGTTCGAGTACATATCGGTCCCGAAATTTCTGGAAGGATCTTGACTCTCCTAGTTCTGCTACTCGACACTAGAGGGCGCTAGTGTAACTAGTGTTGCCATGTACAAGACATTAATAGTGGCGCGCAACACTGCCCCCTCCTAAAACATGCTCGTCCCGAGCATTATTGAAGCATTAGTGAACCTTCGTCAAACCCCTTGTTGTTCATTTTGTGCTCATACCGTGTTTTCATCTTCTCAGACGTTTGCTGGCGCGTCTGTCTAATGTACTCGTAAATGTCATTAATTTTGTTCCGCAGGTCATTTGCATAATCGGTTATACTGCGTGGGGCATCAGGTGTTATTCCGGTGATCAGGTCCGCAGGCAGCCGTAATTCTCTCCCAAAGCTTGCGAAAGTTGGTGTCACTGATGTACTTTCGTGAACAGCGCTTCGATATGACGGCCCCGCAACGTCAATGGCTATCCTCTCCCATGGTGCACCAACATTGTACAATATCAATGCGCCTCTACTACGAATTTGAGGTCCCTTTACAGCCGCACAACTTGTACATTTGCGGCACCAGTCCTCGACATCGTCACGACAGTGGACCCAGTAAAACCGTTCTCGGATCTTCAGTAGAGTTCGTTTAACTCCCAGGTGGCCTCCTGAACAACCACTATGATAGGGCTGTAGAACATCCGGTACTTTAGCCCTAGCAAATGACACCTGTCTCCCCGACCATTTTCCCATTTACGGCACAGGACTCCATCCTGAATCAGCAAGCTGTCCCATTGGGCCCAATAGCTTTTCGTGGTCGAACTCATTGCTGAGACGTCGCTCCACTTGGGCTTAGGAGCACTAGCCTTCATCCATTCCAAAATCGGCTTAAGGTCCGAATCTTCCTGATGTGCATGTTGGAGGCTGTCCTTCCACTCATTGCTGAGCTGGTCTGTCCTGAGTACCCTCACAGATACCACTTCCTTACCCTCTTGCCTAGTACAATGCTTGCAATCTTCAGGGCAAGGTCTTCTTGACAATGCATCTGCATTGCCATGAGATATCCCGCTGCGATGTTCGATGACAAAGTCGTATTCCTGCAGTAGTTCAATCCATCTGATAACTTGTCCTTCCGGATTTTTGAACTGCAATAGCCATTTCAGTGCAGCATGGTCAGTTCGTAAGTGGAATTTCCGCCCCAAAAGATATTTGCTAAAATTCTGCAAGGACTTCACTACAGCAAGCAATCCCGTCTTGTGACACAATAGTTCCTTTCCGGCTTTGACAACGACTTTCTGAAGTACGCTATTACAATCTCTTGATCGCCATTCCGTTGAGACAATACACCGCCAAGTCCTATATCACTTGCGTCTGTGTTAACTATAAATTCCTTGCCCGCATCAGGGTACCCCAAGATAGGTGTTTGGCACAGACGGTTCTTGAGCTCCTGGAATGTAATATTGCAACTTTCATCCCAGCAGAAATGTCGTTTCTCCTCGGTTAGCCTGTGCAGAGGTTTGGCTATATCTGCAAAGTTCTTCACAAATCGCCGATGATAAGAGCACAAACCCAAAAATGCTCTAACCTGTGTCTTGTCTTTTGGAACCGGCCAATTCTTGACAGCAGCAACTTTCTCTGGATCCGTGCGGATACCTTCTTCCGACACTACATACCCCAAAAAGCTAACTTGCCGTTTGAATAGTGAGCACTTCTTCGGACTCAACTTGAGGTTGGCACTCTGGATCTTCATGAGCACGCGTTCTAGGTTTTGAAGGTGTTCCTCAAACGTACGATCTACGATGATGATGTCATTCTAGTAGATCAGACAGGCATCTCCAATTAGCCCAGTAAGTACAAGCTCCATCAATCTTTCAAACGTTGCTGGAGCATTGCAAAATCCAAACGGCATGACTTTAAATTGCCACAGACTCTTTCCTGTGGAGAATGCAGTTTTCTCCTTGTCCTTAGGGTCAATTTCAACCTGCCAGTAGCCACTTTTCAGGTCCAGCGTACTAAACCACTTTACGCCTGTAAGCATGTCCAGCGTGTCATTAATTCTTGGCAAGGGATAGCTGTCCTTCTTCGTAACGTCGTTCAGACGGCGGTAGTCAACACAAAACCGCATGCTGCCGTCCTTCTTCTTTACCAGCACCACAGGTGAACACCATGGACTAGATGAAGGTTCAATAACACCATCCTTCACCATTCCCTCAATCATGGTTTCCACTTCCTTTTCTCGTGCTACCGGCAATCTTCTTGGCCGCTGACGGATAGGCAATTCTTCTCCTGTGTTTATTTTGTGTTGAACTAAGTCTTTCCTATGTCAGCTTCGTTTGACGAGAAAACATTGGCGTACTGGAGTAACAACTTCTTCGCCTTGACCATTTCATTCGGGGAGAGAACGCTGCGACAGTCTTCTAAAAGTGTGGTCACTCTCGTTTGTCCATCCTTGCTGGGAGTCCCAGTGGATAGATATTCGCACCGACGCAACCAATCCACTTCCTCACTAGTACCAACCAATGTGCCTTTTTCTATAATCTGTTCCTGATCACAAAGGTTCAACACACGTACTTCTGAGATATCATTGGTTCTGACCGAGGTTCGAGCCACTTTCCATGGAAGGTCAATGTCTACCCTTTCCACGAGTACACAACGATGGGCTTACCCAGGATTCCGAGGAAGACTAACCGGCACAATAGTGGAATCTCGGTGTAAGAACAATCTTCTTAAGACTGTATACATTCCCTGGTAACGCCCCTTCCACAAAAAGTTCCTCTTGTCCACATTTCAAAACACCTTGCTTAACGTCGATCTCACAACAATTCTTCCTCATAAAGTCTAGGCCCAGGATGCAGTCGTCCATTATATCAGCCACGATGACATTATGCAGGTAGATCATGTTGCCTAGCTTCAACTCCATCTTCTTCTCTCCAAGGACGGGTATGCGCTGACCGGCTGTCACCAAATTAATGCGTTCTCGGTTGTATGCGGAGTCCCCAAGGAACCGACTTATAAGTTGGGAACTGACAACTGTGCGAGAGTCGCCAGTGTCTATGGTCAGTTTACACGGCGTTCCGTTGACTTCGCCCTTGATGATTAGGCTGTTCCCATCATGGGTTCGAGATCGAAATCCTTGGGGCTCTTTTAACATCAGCCAGCACCCGCCCCGCAGTCCTGGCTTTTACTCGTTTCCCTGCTGCTGCTGGGCGGTGCTATTAGCCGCACTACCCTCTCGAGATCGATCACCTTTCCTTTCTACAGTTTGCTTAGGGCAGCTGGATCGAAGATGGCCCCTTTCTCCACAGCCGTAGCACCTAGGGCTGTAGCCGTTATTGCAATCCCGATCTGTAGCTGCTGCAACCTCCCTGACGCGGTGGGAACGATGATCCTGCCGCACGGCTTCCACCTCCAGTGCATGGGTCAATACGTCCTTAAGCGTCTCGTGGTGCCCGAGCCTCACAGCAGCTCTGACTTCAAGGTCGCGGATGCCGTCGATGAATGTCTGCACCAGGTTCCCAACAATGAGCGCAGGTACAGACTGGTACGCTTTTCGAACCAGCTTCTCAACCTCAAGGGCCCACTCCTGCAGGTTTTCGTTACTGCGTTGCACGCGATCTTTGAGCTGCGCACGAAAGACGTGTTCCAGGTGAGCGTCGCCATATCTGTCCTCCAATGCCTCAAGGAGCTGCTCGTAAGTCACTTCCTTACCGAGAGGTTTCAGAACAGTTAAGGCCTGGTCGCGCAGGCCTAGGGTTAGAGCAGTCATGGCCTGACTTTTATTCCAGCCGTTCGCTTTGATGACAGCCTCGAACTGGATTTTGTAGGCCGACCAGGAAGAAGTCCCGTCGAACGGTGGCATTTTGAATCCACGTAGCGAAGGTGTTGTAGCTACCACGAGAGATCTTACTCCATCCCCAATTTTGAGGTCGTTCAGCGTTTTCTTCACGTCAACCATCACGTTGTCAACCCGATTGTTCACTTGGTCGATTCGGGTTTCAGCTTCCGATAGGCGGTTGTCATGTTGATCAACCCTATCCTTCACCTCATTTATCTCTTTCCCGAAGGTAGCGTGAAGGTCCTTCATGAGGAGCATCTGCTCTTCCTTATCGCGTTTGAGCTGCTTTTCCAAGCAACGGGCCTGTTCCTCCTGTCCGCGCTGCAGGTGCTCTTCCAATCGACGAACCTATTCCTCCTGTCCGCGCTGCAGCTGCTCTTCCAACCGACGGGCCTGTTCCTCCTGTCGGCGAGCCTGATCCTGCAGCATCATCATCAGAGCACCTAAGTCAGGTGCTGCAGGTGCAGGAGCTGCTGACGGGCCGGCCTCCGTGGTCAGCATCTGGCCCTCCGACGTTTGCGGCGTTGCATTACCAAATCGTCTCTGGTCCACCTCCAGCTGGCGTTGACTTCGGGTACGGATACCTTCCATGTCATCCTTTGGTAAAATCGGCATGATTTGATCCCACTTCTGACACCAATTGTTACGAGCATGGGGTTCGAGACAAATAAAACTGCCGCTTGAATTACCAAAATTGACACTTTAATTACACAACACTAATTACAATCTAAAACCACACTAATAATAAAACACAATCACTTTAGTTCGCAGTTATTTCACTTCGAAGTATTCTCTTGTATCGCCAATTCAATACTGACTTGGTCGTGGTCTATACCGGCCTTATATAGGGCCTCAGATAGTTTCCCGAACCTTCTATTGTAGCGACATCTAGAATGTTCGGGTACATATCGGTCCCGAAATTTCTGGAAGGATCTTGACTCTCCTAGTTCTGCTACTCGACACTAGAGGGCGCTAGTGTAACTAGTGTTGCCATGTAAAAGACATTAATAGTGGAGCGCAACAATACTAAACTTTGTAACACAGTCTTAAGGCATTTTTTCATAAAATAATTAGTGTTACGCTAGGACCACTATTTTGGTATAAAAACTAAAGTATATTAAATAAAGTTTGAAAAATATTACTAAAAATTATTCCAATCATCATATTGCTTACTACAGAGTAAGTAAAACTCAAACCTTCTATTTTTATCACAGAAATGGCAGTTACGCACTGGTAAAACTGGCTTAGGGCTTCTGGATGTTGATGGTATTAGAGAGCTTCGATCTTGAGGATATGGGCCATCTAGCACAAAATTTTTTGGTAAATTTTCTGGTCTGTGTAGAAATAAAGTACGACCAGTCACATTGTCAACGGAATCGCAAATCGCTTCTAAATTATCCTTGGTCTCACTGTCAAAGAAGTTCTCTTGTATGAAATTTGCAATCTGCTCCTCGATGAGATCCATCTATCAAATAATATGTATTTTATACTTTATAATAGTCAATAAACAAGGAAACATTCAGAAATGTAAAATAAGTTAACAGTAAAAGACACCTACCTTTAATACTAATAATCGTCTCCCAGGCGATCACATAGGTTATATCTTGGCAATGGTCTGCCACTGACACTGCCCTCCGCGTCACGGACTACATATAGTTGGCGCAAGTGCATGGCGCGGTACGTCCCCGCAATTTCAAAATAACCAGCAAAACCCCAACCGCGGGTGGCCTGTCAGGCGATGATTAGTAATCTAGGGTTAAATAAGTCTTTGTTAATAAGCAAATATCACTAGATATCTCTACTGGAATTGAACGGGGTTTTGCGAAAAATATAGGAAAGAATTCGAAATTGCTCATTATCCGTCGGTGAACGAGGGAGGAAGAGCATTGGGTTATAAAGTAGAGAAGGGCTTTGGGCGGATAATGGTTTTCTGTTAGAATTATATGAACACCGCTAATGGAATTCAAAAGGGTTTTGCGAATAGCTTCGTAAAGAGTTCTAAGTCACTCATAAGCCCTCTGCTAACGAGAGAGAGGGGGTTTGGGGGAGTATTGGTAACGTTTGGTGTCCGCCGGCACGCAGCGGCGGGGCGTGCGGCGGGGCGGGCGGCGGGCGGGTCGCCGGGCGACGACTCGGACTATTTCACGCCGGAGGAGCCCGCCACCACCCTCCTCACCAGCCCGCGCCCCTCCAAGCCTGTAAGTCGGCCCTCATCGCCTCGTTTCGCCTCACATTGCCTCGTTTCGCCTCACATCGCCTCGTACCGCTTCCCTTCCACGCCATCTTTGTGTTGCGTTCCGTGCATTGTGGTTTATTATCCGTTGCATCCATTTTGTCATTTCATGTGCTTGTTTGTTCGTTTATGGTTCGAGCGTAGCCGGGAGCGTATTTTTGAGGTTTTTATTTTTAAGTACAGACTGCACTGTGGTTGGCGTATTAGGTGTTTGCGTATTGATATTTAGTAAAATTTTAAATTTTTGTTTTTTTTTATTACCTACACATTGTCACCCCTCGCAAAGTAATATAATATTTTGTTTATTTACAAGAATGTAGCACAACTAGGATAAAAATTAATTATTAAACTCTTTACAGCCTACTGCCACAATGTACAAATCGTTGTTTAAGTACGATATTCTAATGGGTTTGGAAACTTACATCGGTTTATCTGCGCGTGAGGCTTTTATATACAGGGTTATTTTGCAATAACCGACCAAATTTACAGAGAAAGTACAGAATAAGTAATATAGGCAAATGGTAGAGAAAAATTAATTAAAAATAACTCAAATATTCTGTCCTTTTTATCTTTTAAATTAAAAATGCGTAGTACTGCATTATCTCAACTGATTTTACTGCGCACGCACACATTCATAAGGGTAGATCGGTAGGCAAAAACGTTATTGCCCATACATCACATTCAATTTGGGATAATTTCAAATAAAAGTAGAAGCCTTATTTACTTGTGTTTTCAAAAACTGTAATAACAGTATATCATTATTTATATATACAAACTTAAGTTTAAATTTGGTTACTCTTTGAAAAATAACCCCGTATTTTAGATGAACAATAAACCGCGCGTAGGCTGCACAAATACACAGTTTCAGTAATCGCCAACCCAAACCCAATGAATTCATTTTGACAGTTTAAAATATAGAACTATTTTTGAAATTTTGTTTTCTTGTTACCTACATATGAAAATATAAATAAAAAGAAATTCAACGGAATAGTTCCAGTGCGGAATAATATCAATAAAATAATTGAGCATGGTTCAAGTGTTTTAAATGACAATACACGAAATTCCCGGCTACGCTCACCAATAACATATGCATCGTAGTTTAGGGCATTGTAAGCTGTTCCACTCCTATATCATGGGTTTCCTTACAGGAGGCGGGCGGTATGACGGTGGAGTGTGCGCCACAGCGATGGGCCTTACCTCATCACGTCACTTCTCTACCAGGTACAAATGACTGTTCGTTTACAGTACCGTTATCGCTATAGCCTATTAAAGTCCACTGCTGAACTTAGGCTCTCATAGATTGCTTCATAGGCGGGATATTTGCCACAGTTGTCACGTTTATCAAGCGGGTTGGCAACCTCAGTTTTTTTTTATTTTAAGTCCATATTAGCAACACGCTGCTGCCCATCCCTAAATTGTACCCATCTGTCATCTCTTACGACAGACAGATTGATATGGCGTATTGGATATTCTTTATTTTATGTATTAAGCGGAATTATCATACAGAAACGGTTCGGTTTGTGTACAATAATCACGCTTATAAAGGGAAGCAGCATATATTAAAATAAAAATATAAACTACAGTAACAGATATGTCCACAACAGTCTGCCACTGGCATATATCCTACTGCTAAACACAGCTATCTGGTTTCTGAGGTTATTATAAGGCAAGGAAGATTCCATCGCGCTATTCTAGTTCCCACGGCTGAGCACAAGCCTCCACTTATTTCTGAGAGGCTTTTTAGGGTAAGGAGGTTTTCAGTGTTCGGCCACAATATTTTGTCGGATTTCAAATGTCTTCTCAATATAGGTAATTTTGTTCATACAGTAGAGAGTGCTAAGATCGGGAAAATTTAAACAGAGCATCTGACTACTATATGTAATAATCAAAATACATACAAACTATATCAGCCTGTTTGTTTACTGTCTTGGTTACTGTTTACGATATGGTAACGGTGGTAGAGCCACGCAGTTTTTGCTGTTGCACGTATGGGCCGGCTCGAGCCGGGTTAATACCACGATCTCACAGAATACCGGCGTGAAGTAGAGCTTCTACTTCACGCCGGTGTTCTGTGTTCTCGAGCTTCTGCGTCGTCCGGTGAGTACAGGTGGCCGGAGGCCCAATCCCCCCCCCCTCCCCCCTCCCCCCTCCCCCCAATCAACATGGTCGCGGAATTACACCAAAGACTACCCCGGGAGGATACTCACTGAGCATCCATGACCAAGGTTACATAGGCTGCACTAAAAGTATCGGGAATGGAATATTTCCACTGTTCCTGTCATAATAAAATCTTTTCAATTGAAAACTCCTTGGTTTTAAAAATCGAATACCATTTATTTATTTAAAAAAAGATTCTCGGTCATGTCACAAGGTTTTGTCAAACTTGTTTAGTCGTTGAGAAAATGGAATTCATTCGAGAAAATTCAAGAGCGATGATTTATTATGACTTTCGAAGTGGTTTAACACAAAAACAGTGTGTTGACCGGATGATTTCTGCATTTGGTGATGAAGCCCCATCCAAAACCACAATTTATCGCTTGTTTGATGAATTTCAACGTGGACGTGTCAAGCTCAGTGATGATCCCCGTCAAGGTCGTCCAAAAACTGCAGTCACCCAAGAAAACGTTGATGCTGTGCGTAAGCTGATTGAGGAAGATCGACATGTGACATATCGCGACATTCAGGCAACTTTAGACATTGGCATGAGTCAAATACAAATAATCTTGCATGAACAATTAGATGTAAAAAAGTTGTTTTCCCGATGGATACCGCATTCACCCTGTGAAGAGCAAAAAGCGGCTCGCGTTACTTGGTGCGTCAGAACTCTCGAAAGATTCCACTCAGGATCCTCAAATGCTGTATACAACATCGTATTAGGTGACGAATCCTGGATATACGCGTACGAACCCGAAACAAAAAAACCAGTCACGAGCTTGGGTGTTCGAAAATGAGTTAAAGCCACAAAAATTGTTCGTTCATGGAGTGTTGCAAAAAAAAAATGGTGGCCACGTTTGTCTCCAAAACCGGCCATGTTACGACTATTCCTCTTGAGGGACAAAGAACGGTTAATGCAGAATGGTATGCTAGCATTTGTTTGCCACAGGTCGTTTCTGAACTCCGTAAAGAGAACTGCAACCGCCGCATCATCCTCCATCACGACAATGCGAGTTCTCACACCGCACATAGAACAAAAGTGTTTTTAGAGCAAGAAAACATAGAATTATTAGACCATCCGCCGCACAGCCCCGACCTAAGCCCTAATGATTTCTATACTTTCCCTAAAATAAAGAATAAATTGCGTGGACAGAGATTTTCATCACCTGAAGAAGCTGTGGACGCCTACAAAACGGCCATTTTGGAGACCCCAACTTCCGAATGGAATGGTTGCTACAATGATTGGTTCCATCGTATGGAAAAATGTGTCAAATTTCTCGGAGAATACTTCGAAAAGCCATAAATACAGTTTTAAATAGTAATGTTGTGTCACTTCCTTGATTCCCGAAATTTTCAGTGCTGCCCTCGTATTCCACTCCTAAACGTGGGTGCTCAGGCTGCCCCGCGTATTTGGGGGGGGGGGGGGGGGGGGGGGGGCGAAATTCCGCTCTAAAACATAACTGCTCGGGGCAAATTGAGCAACGATACCAAGGCAACCCCTGCCACGCCATCCGTGAATTTCTGCAACATCAGGGAACTTCACTCGAACCTAAACGCCGTCCACTACCATCTCGAGACGACGAAGCCGGCCTTGCTCTTTCTGACCGAGACGTAGGTGACCTTTCCGGCGGATACTTCGTATCTCTCCTACCCGGGGTACAAATTGGAGCATTCCTTTGTGCCTCGTGCTGGAGGCGTGTATGTCAGAGAGGACATCTGTTCTCGACGCCTCGGCAGTCTAGAAGGTTCAGACCTGTCCATCCTTTGGCTACGCGTAGACAGCGACGACCATCCGCGCGTCTACGGGTGCCTCTATAGGTCCCTCTGGGCTTTTCGGACCATTGCCTGATCCGGAGTGTGGTGCCACTCACGCTCCCCTCGCGGTTGCGTTCTGCAGGTTGCCGCCTGTTTATCATTACAGGTCGACGAATTGGGACGGAATGCGGTCTTTCTTTGCATCCTACCCATGGGATCGGGTTTGCTTCTCGCCGGATGATCCCAGCGCTGTTGCTGACTCTGTCACTGATGTGGTGCTACAGGGAATGGAACGATTTATTCCATCATCTGTGATACCCATCGGAGGCAGATCTCAGCCTTGGTTTGGTCGCTCCTGTAAGACTGCATTACGCAGTAATCAGGAGTGTTACGAAGCCTGGGCTGCGGCTTCGGCGACTTGGGATGTAAACACCAGCATACTTAAAAGAAGTATAACTTCGCCTCCAGGTCCTTCAAAAAGTTATTGCCAAAGCAAATTCAGAGCACATAGGCAGAATTGGCGAGAAACTAGTTCGCCTTCCTTCGGAAACCCGTGCATTCTGGTCTCTCGCTAAGGATGTCCAAGGGAATTTCTGTAAGCTATCACTACCATCTCTGCACAGGGAGGACGACTCACTGGCACAAGCCGCAAAAGACAAAGCCGACCTTTTTGCGTCCAACTCGACTCTTTATGACGCGGGGAAAACACCACCGACCATCCCGCGGTGTGAGTGCTCCATGCCGGATGAGCGGTTCTCACAGGGCTCGGTTCGCAAAGCACTCCTCTCCCTGGACATCCAGAAGTCGAGTGGGCCTGACGGAATTCCCCCAATTGTGCTGAGGACGTGTGCTCCGGAGTTAGCACCGGTCCTAACGCGTCTTTTCCAGTACTCCTACTCCCTAGGCGTAGTCCCGAAATCATGGAAGACAGCTTTTGTCCACCCGATCCCTAAAAAAGGCGACCACTTAGACCCGTCCAACAACAGGCCTATCGCCATCACCTCCTTGTTCTCCAAAATAATGGAATCCATTATTAACTGCCAGCTCATGCGGTACCTTGAGGATCATCAGCTGATTAGTGACAGCCAATACGGTTTTTGTCGGGGTCGATCAGCTGGTGATCTTCTGGTCTACCTGACTCATAGATGGGCGGAGGCATTAGACTCCAAGAGGGAGGCGTTGGCCGTTAGTTTGGACATTGTGGAGGCCTTCGATCGGGTTTGGCACAAAGCGCTTCTTTCGAAGCTCCCTTCCTATGGGCTTCCCGAGAAATTGTACAATTGTATCACCAGCTTCCTTGCAGATCGGAGCATCAAGGTCGTTGTAGACAGTGCATGCTCCGACTACAAGCCTATTAACGCTGGTGTTCCACAAGGCTGTGTGCTATCACCAACGCTGTTTCATCTGCATATCAATGATATGTTGCCAACTGGTAACATTCATTGCTATGCTGATGACAGCACTGGTGATGCTTTATACACCGGCCGTGCCAATATTTCTCGGGAAAACGTCGCTGAGTACCGGAACAAACATGTGCCTGAAGTCGAGTCTTTGCTAAACAAAGTCTCGGATTGGGGCTTTAGTCCAGTTTAATCCTCAAAAGACTGTTTGCGCGTTTACCGCTAAAAAGAACCCCTTTGTCGTATCTCCTCAGTTTCAAGGCACTCCCCTTCTTGCCTCAGCCAGTATCAGAATCCTCGGAGTCGACATATCGAGTGACGTGCAGTTTCGTGGTCACTTGGAAGAGAAGGCCAAATTGGCCTCTAAAAAGCTTGGCGTGCTCAGCAGAGCGGGACAGTATTTTAAGCTGGCACACCGCCTGCAACTTTACAAGGCGCAGGTTCGGCCTCACATGGAATACTGTTCCCATCTCTGGGCAGGGGCTCCCCAGTGCCAGCTCCTTCCACTTGATCGCATCCAGCGCAGAGCGGCTCGAATCGTCGACGACCGAGTCCTTTCCGATCGGCTCGATTCATTGACACTGCGAAGAGATGTTGCATCACTTTGAATTTTCTTTCGCATTTACCACGGGGAGTGCTCTCTCAAACAACACAAAAAAAATTCACATCGCGGCAGAACTCCCGATACCATCCACACCATCTGGATGATTGATGGTCCACCACTGTGCGATTTAGAAGATGTTTACTTCCTCGCATGACTTCCTTGTGGAATCGATTACCATCAGCGATTTTTCCGGACCGATACGACTTAGGGACCTTCAAGAAAAGAGCCTACTCCTTTTTAAAAGGCCGGCAACGCATCTGCAAATGGTGTTGCAGTTGTTCATGGGCGGCGGTAGTCACTTACCATCAGATGAGCCGTATGCTCGTTTGCCCCCTCTACTATAAAAAAAATAACGTGGATGCCATGAGTCCCTTGCGTTCTATGAAGGATTTGTCATAATCGCAGCTCTTGGCTGGCGGATTCACAACCGCAGTACCAGACGTCAAACGACCTTTGACGCTGGTCTCCGTCGCTGCTCTGGTTACATTACGTTTGACGTTAAGTAATCGCTGTAGGCGATGTAAGGGAAGCCCTATCGATCTGGGGCTGTCTGGGGGGAGAGGGTTCGAAACACCTTTTGGATTTCGATTAATTGCCATTCGATATAGTTTTGTATATACCAGATTAAATACTCTGACTGTCGATGGGGCGCAATATTTAAAGGTTCGAAATGTCACAATCGTCGGTGATTACGGCCTATCCTTCCTACAGCGAAAGAGGGTGGTTATACAATGAAGTACGAACCGATAAAAGTGTGTGTCCGCGGTACAGGCACACCCCTGAGCCAGTGGAGCGCGCGCTCGTCGGGCGAGTCGTACAGCTCCACGTCCTCCTCGCGCCAGCTGCTGGCCGCCGCGCTGCCGCCCGCCGCGCCCGTCTAGTGCCACTCCGCGATCCCACCAGCTCCATGTCCTCCTCGCGCCAGCTGCTGGCTGCGCCCGTCTAGTGCCACTCCCCGACCCCACCAGCTCCACGTCCTCCTCGCGCCAGCTGCTGGCCGCCGCGCTGCCGCCCGCCGCGCCCGTCTAGTGCCACTCCCCGACCCCATTATTAACTGCCAGCTCATGCGGTACCTTGAGGATCATCAGCTGATTAGTGACAGCCAATACGGTTTTTGTCGGGGTCGATCAGCTGGTGATCTTCTGGTCTACCTGACTCATAGATGGGCGGAGGCATTAGACTCCAAGAGGGAGGCGTTGGCCGTTAGTTTGGACATTGTGGAGGCCTTCGATCGGGTTTGGCACAAAGCGCTTCTTTCGAAGCTCCCTTCCTATGGGCTTCCCGAGAAATTGTACAATTGTATCACCAGCTTCCTTGCAGATCGGAGCATCAAGGTCGTTGTAGACAGTGCATGCTCCGACTACAAGCCTATTAACGCTGGTGTTCCACAAGGCTGTGTGCTATCACCAACGCTGTTTCATCTGCATATCAATGATATGTTGCCAACTGGTAACATTCATTGCTATGCTGATGACAGCACTGGTGATGCTTTATACACCGGCCGTGCCAATATTTCTCGGGAAAACGTCGCTGAGTACCGGAACAAACATGTGCCTGAAGTCGAGTCTTTGCTAAACAAAGTCTCGGATTGGGGCTTTAGTCCAGTTTAATCCTCAAAAGACTGTTTGCGCGTTTACCGCTAAAAAGAACCCCTTTGTCGTATCTCCTCAGTTTCAAGGCACTCCCCTTCTTGCCTCAGCCAGTATCAGAATCCTCGGAGTCGACATATCGAGTGACGTGCAGTTTCGTGGTCACTTGGAAGAGAAGGCCAAATTGGCCTCTAAAAAGCTTGGCGTGCTCAGCAGAGCGGGACAGTATTTTAAGCTGGCACACCGCCTGCAACTTTACAAGGCGCAGGTTCGGCCTCACATGGAATACTGTTCCCATCTCTGGGCAGGGGCTCCCCAGTGCCAGCTCCTTCCACTTGATCGCATCCAGCGCAGAGCGGCTCGAATCGTCGACGACCGAGTCCTTTCCGATCGGCTCGATTCATTGACACTGCGAAGAGATGTTGCATCACTTTGAATTTTCTTTCGCATTTACCACGGGGAGTGCTCTCTCAAACAACACAAAAAAAATTCACATCGCGGCAGAACTCCCGATACCATCCACACCATCTGAATGATTGATGGTCCACCACTGTGCGATTTAGAAGATGTTTACTTCCTCGCATGACTTCCTTGTGGAATCGATTACCATCAGCGATTTTTCCGGACCGATACGACTTAGGGACCTTCAAGAAAAGAGCCTACTCCTTTTTAAAAGGCCGGCAACGCATCTGCAAATGGTGTTGCAGTTGTTCATGGGCGGCGGTAGTCACTTACCATCAGATGAGCCGTATGCTCGTTTGCCCCCTCTACTATAAAAAAAATAACGTGGATGCCATGAGTCCCTTGCGTTCTATGAAGGATTTGTCATAATCGCAGCTCTTGGCTGGCGGATTCACAACCGCAGTACCAGACGTCAAACGACCTTTGACGCTGGTCTCCGTCGCTGCTCTGGTTACATTACGTTTGACGTTAAGTAATCGCTGTAGGCGATGTAAGGGAAGCCCTATCGATCTGGGGCTGTCTGGGGGGAGAGGGTTCGAAACACCTTTTGGATTTCGATTAATTGCCATTCGATATAGTTTTGTATATACCAGATTAAATACTCTGACTGTCGATGGGGCGCAATATTTAAAGGTTCGAAATGTCACAATCGTCGGTGATTACGGCCTATCCTTCCTACAGCGAAAGAGGGTGGTTATACAATGAAGTACGAACCGATAAAAGTGTGTGTCCGCGGTACAGGCACACCCCTGAGCCAGTGGAGCGCGCGCTCGTCGGGCGAGTCGTACAGCTCCACGTCCTCCTCGCGCCAGCTGCTGGCCGCCGCGCTGCCGCCCGCCGCGCCCGTCTAGTGCCACTCCGCGATCCCACCAGCTCCATGTCCTCCTCGCGCCAGCTGCTGGCTGCGCCCGTCTAGTGCCACTCCCCGACCCCACCAGCTCCACGTCCTCCTCGCGCCAGCTGCTGGCCGCCGCGCTGCCGCCCGCCGCGCCCGTCTAGTGCCACTCCGCGACCCCACCAGCTCCATGTCCTCCTCGCGCCAGCTGCTGGCTGCGCCCGTCTAGTGCCACTCCCCGACCCCACCAGCTCCACGTCCTCCTCGCGCCAGCTGCTGGCCGCCGCGCTGCGGCCCGCCGCGCCTGTTTAGTGCCACTCCCCGACCCCACCAGCTCCACGTCCTCCTCGCGCCACCTGCTGGCCGCCGCGCTGCCGCCCGCCGCGCCCGTCTAGTGCCACTCCCCGACCCCACCAGCTCCACGTCCTCCTCGCGCCAGCTGCTGGCCGCCGCGCTGCCGCCCGCCGCGCCCGTCTAGTGCCACTCCGCGACCCCACCAGCTCCATGTCCTCCTCGCGCCAGCTGCTGGCCGCCGCGCTGCCGCCCGCCGCGCCCGTCTAGTGCCACTCCGCGACCCCACCAGCTCCATGTCCTCCTCGCGCCAGCTGCTGGCCGCCGCGCTGCGGCCCGCCGCGCCCGTTTAGTGCCACTCCCCGACCCCACCAGCTCCACGTCCTCCTCGCGCCAGCTGCTGGCCGCCGCGCTGCCGCCCGCCGCGCCCGTCTAGTGCCACTCCCCGACCCCACCAGCTCCACGTCCTCCTCGCGCCAGCTGCTGGCCGCCGCGCTGCCGCCCGCCGCGCCCGTCTAATGCCACTTCCCGACCCCACCAGCTCCACGTCCTCCTCGCGCCAGCTGCTGGTCGCTGCGCTGCCGCTCTTCTAGTGCCCCACCCCGACTCCACGAGCATACACCAACACTCTTCTACCCCACACCCACCATTCTACCTCTAGCACACACCTACACTCCCCCATTCCTCCACACCCAGCAGCAATGGGCTATTGGTAAAATGGAACATAGTGTATGTATTGTTATGCTGCTATTTCTATCAGAACAAACATCACATTCAAATATGTTTGTATATAAATGCGCTACATATTTTCTCAGTAATCTTCCTATAGGCGATATTGTACTAAATTATTGAAACCGATAATAGTTAGAGATAATGTGTGTGGATATGTACGAGGGGTGATCCAAAAGTAATGATAATGAAAATAAAACACGGTAATTAAAGTTAAAATAATAATTTGTTTTTCTACATAGTCTCCTAACAAATCAATACATTTAGTCCATCTTTTTTCTAAACCCAGGATTCCCTTTGAAAAAAATTCTTTGTCTTGACCCTCCCAAAACGCTTCTGCAAAATCAAAAGAACAGCGGCCATTACTTCGCTATCGTCTTCGAATTTCTTGCCTCGGAGGCGTTCCTTGAGCCGAGGAAAGAGGTAGAAATCACTAGGAGCTAGATCTGGCGAATAGGGAGGGTGTTCGAGCAGTTCGAATCCCGTTTCTTGAATGGCAGCCATCGCAACTGCGGCTTTGTGAGCCGGTGCGTTGTCTTGGTGAAACAGCACTCCAGCTCGCAGTTTGCCGCGTCTTTTTTCCTTAATGGTCTCCCGTAATCTTCTTATTTGGTCTGCGTAGTAAGAACCCGTAATAGTGGCTCCCTTTTCCAAATATTCCACCATAATTATGCCTTGAGCGTCCCAAAAAACAGATGCCATAACCTTTCCCGCCGAACTTGAAACTTTGAATTTCTTTGGCGTCGGTGAGGAGGCTCGCTTCCAAGTCATCGATTGTTGTTTCCTTTCAGGATCAAAATGGTGGATCCAGATCTCGTCCATAGTCACAAAACGGAACAAAAAAATTTTCTTGATCTGCTTGGAACTTTTCGAGATTGACCCTCGAAATGTCAACTCGATTTTTCTTTTGCTCGTCGGTTAACATTCTGGGTACCCAACGCGCAGAGACCTTTTTCATATGCAACTCGTTCGCAAGGATTCTTTGAACGCTGCCATATGAGATCCCTGTGACCTCAGCTACATGCCTGATGGTCACTCTTCGATCTGCTAACACAACATCTTCGACTTTTTTCACGTTGTCTTTAGGGAGGGACGTGGATGGTCACTGTGTATGTCTTTTTAAGACATTTTTTTTTCAAACAGAGGTACTTGATGACAGCTCTAATTTCGTTTTTCTCCATGTTGATGTTATATCTTTGACAGTTCGTATTCAAATGAATGTATCTCCCGGAAATCGTGATCTATTTATATGATTTTTTTAGGCTGACGTAGTGAGTATATAAGCAAGCAAAAAATATTTTTTTTTGGATTTTTATGCGGACCTGAAGTAACCGATTATCATTACTTTTGGATCAGCCCTCGTATATTTATTTTATTCTAGTAATATTTATGCTTTTGTCAACATCATTATTTGCTTTACTTCTTGAACATTCCTTTTAATTTTTACATATTAAGAACAATGAAAGACTCATACATAAAATTAGTTGAGAAGGAATGGTAGCGTCTATATATCAAAATATCTTAAAATGTTAAGCGTCAGTCTCTGAATAACTTTGTCAAAGAATTTTTTCCTGAGAAGGCGTAAAAAAAAGATATTTAGATTTGAATCTTTTTAGGTTATGTCTTATGTCACTTCTAAAAAGTCATGCGTCCTGTGGTTGTTTGATGTTAGCATAATACATTCTCAACATAATGTACCCCTACCTACATAATTGAGAGTTTTTAGATTATTGTATCTCTATTATATATTTGCATACTATAAATGTATATTTCTGGCATGGCTCCAGGGCCTTTGTGCTATACAGTGACATTCTCAGAAGGGCTAGAACCCAGAGCCGTGAAGCCAGTAAAAAAACTGACATTTTGTTTTAGCTAGTGTTGCCATAACATTAAATGGAAATATTACATAATACTATGATTGAGATAATGTATTATTGTAGGAAGTTCTTTGTAAGAGACTTATTTTTAACCGTAT